CCCATGCCCCAATCCCTTCTCCTCCGTTCTCCTCTCGGGATCTTGGGCACGCGCGCACACGCACCCGGCGTGAGTTCAAGCCACCAGCTCCAGCGACCAAGCCATTACGCTAACTACCGGTCCCATTAAATAAATTTTTTTAAAGGAAAAAGTAACCTTAAGTTGAACAGTAAAGAGATATAGCACTTTTATTACCAAAAAAAAAAAAAAAAACAGATGAACAGGAAAAAACAGTAGTCATGCTCCACATGATACAAAAATGTCTGCACAAGTTTGCTGACCTTAACTACGAGCAGACGGTTTTAAAAATCACACATGTAGGGACCAGTAGTTAGCGTAATGGCTATGTCGCTAGACTCCCACGTAGTCGACCGCGGTTCGCGTCCCGGACCCAGTGGCTTAAACTCACACCGGGCACGTGTGCGTGCGTGCCCAAGATCCCTAGAGGAGAATGGAGGAGAAGGGATTGCGGTGTGGCCATCCCCCCTGGGGGGTGATTTCTCGCTTTCTGTCTCTCTCTGTCTGTCTGGCAAGCGCACGCGCCCTATAGCAAAAATCTCTCCAAAAAAAGAGAGAAAAAAAATAACACATGTAGGAGTCGGCAGGTGGCGTGGTGGTAAAGGCACTGGGCTCCCACAAGTCCTGGACCTGGTAGCCCACGTTCTCACTTTCCCTCTCTTTCTGTCTCTCTCTGATCAAACTGGAAAATAACAATAATAAATAAAGTTGGATAAAAATAATTCTTTAAAAAAAATCACACATGTACAGATAAAAGACTATATCAAGAATTCTTTAGTTTCTTCAGGTAAGAAAAGAGGGCCAGTCAAGTGGCATGGTGATTAAGACATATGGATTCCACGTGGTCGAATATGTGGCTCAAATCTCCAACTCAGCAGCTTAGAAAATCATGCCAGGTGTATGTATGTGTGTGCATGCCCAAAATCTCGAGAGGAAAATAGAGAAGGGATTGCAGTGTGGCCATTCCCCAGAGAATGATTTCTCACCCCTCACTCCTCCTCTCTTACTCTCTTTGGTGAGCATGTGCACACAACAACAAATTTTAAAAAGAAGGAGAAAATAAAGTACCTGTCAACATTATAAGAATCAAATAAATAAATATTTTTAAAGCATTTAGAATAGTATCTGACACATAACAAAAACTGTTTATGAAATTAATAAAAATATGGTATCATTTATTAGCATGCCTTCATAATTTAAAGAACCAGTAGGTTGGGGCCAGCAGGTGGATTGGTGGTTGAGGGCACTGGACTCCCACAGGGCCAACAGTGGTTTGAGTCCCAGACCTGGCAGCTTGGTTTCTTACTTTCCCTCTCTCTCTCTCTCTTGCTCACTCTATCCCTCTCTAGTCAAATTAAAATAAATAAAGTTGAATAAAATAATGCTTAAAAGAAGAAACAGTAGGCAGCTATTAATGTCTGTCTCCAGATGAAAAATTATTCATCTAATAGTCTCTGAGGTATCAGCACATCATAATGATCTTAACAAAGAAATAAACTAGTCATGTTTATTTTTGTTCCTTCATAGAAACAACTTCTTGTAAAAATAATATTTTGATCTGTCAACATTCCCAGTAAGGGGAATGACATATAATCAGTGTCTCTCTCAATTTACCAGTTCCTCACCCAGATTAGTCAGAAAACAGACTGTGAACCTAGGTTATGAATGTATTTGAGAAGTGTCCCACAATGAAACTAGAAATGAAAAATTATTGATGATAACATACATGATTAAGCCACTATGCAGTATATTCTGGATGGGAAATCACATTTTGTATGTTGTGACGATGATTAGGGGATGAATGTAAATTAATTAATTAAAAAAAAGTTTCAGGAGAAAAAAAAAGAATGAACATGGCTAGATAACAGCTTACACAAAATAGGGTAGTAATAGTGTTTATAAAATAAATATAACAAAACAAAAAGAAAAGAAAAGGAAATAAAGGATGAATAAGAGCATTAGCCCTCCGGGAGCTTCCAGTTCATTCAGAAGGGAGTTGTTGATGGACAATTTCATGAAGGAAGGGAAAGCACTGTGAAAGGGGTAAGTACAAAGAAATAAGACAAGCCAAGAGGCCATTAACTTCAAAGAAGGCCTCCTTCCTGAAGTAGTAAACAGTCGGAGATGTGTTCTTTGCTAAGTACTACAATAGCAGTTTGAGCAAAAAGCTACTGGACAATTGGTAAGAGGTGCCTACAAATGCTGAGGAGGCTAGAAAGAGGCCCTGACCTAGAGGTGGGGTCTTGAAGGGCAGAGTATGAGGGATGTATTTCAAGGGGACAGAAACCACGCAACGTTTAAATCTTAAAACATTACTTAAGAGAAATAAGTTTAAAAAGAATACATCACAAAACAATTTCATGCAACTTTAAAGGTAAATCCAAGTGATTCAGTACTATTTCAATAAATTTGTTAAAAGTCACTTTTTTTCTCAACTCAAAAGTAAATAAATAAATGAATGAATGAATGAAAAAAAGTAAGAACACTACCAATCATGTAGTTAAGACCTTTCCCGGGCATACCAGCCAGCTCCCTCCTGCCTCTAAATTGCTATACAATGCATTAGCAGCAGTGTGGATGAGATATTCTGATTCTAAAAACCTACTGATGTGGGCCAGCGTGGTGCTTAAGGTGCTGGACTCCCACATGGCCAACCACTGTTCGAGTCCCAGACCTGGCGGCTTGCTTTCTCATAGTCCCTCTCCTTCTCTATCTCTCTCTGGTCAAATTAAAAAATAATGATAATAAATAAAATTAAATAAATAAATTGTTTAAGAGGTTTTTTACTATAGGGCTTGTGCGCTCACCAGAGAGACACAGACAGAAAGTTACAAATCATTCCCCAGAGGGGAAGGTCACACAGCAATTTCTTCTCCTTCATTCTCCTCTTGAGACTTTGGGTACACACCCAGTATGAGTTTCAAGCCTCCAGGTCTGGGACTCGAACTGTGGTCAGCCATGTGGGAGTCCAGCAACATAGTTGCTACACCATCTGCTGGTCCCAAATAAAAAATTCTTTAAAAAATAAAAATAAAAAAATATATAGTAGTTTTTTTGTTTGTTTGGTTTGTTGTATGCTATGGTATAGTACATTACACCTGGAATCAATTTTTTTAAAGAATTATTTTACTTAACTTTTTTCATTCATTAATTCATTCATTTTAATTTGACCAGCAAGGGATAGAGTGAAAGATGGAAAGTGAAAAAGCAAGCTGCCAGGTCTAGGACTCAAACCGCAGTCAGCCATGTAGGAGTCCAATGCCCCTAACCATCACACCACCAGCCAGCCCCTGGAAATCAATTCTTTAAAAATCCAGTATATTGGGACCAAAAGGTGGCATGATGGTTGAGGCGCTGGACTCCCACAGGCCCGACCATGGTTTGAGTCCCAGACCTAGTGGTTTGGTTTCCCGCTTTCTCTCTTTTTATCTCTTGCGCTCTTGAGAGCGTGTGTGCTCTATAGCAAATTGAAGAATAATGATAATGATTAATAAAATTAAATCAATGATTCTTTTTTTAAAAATCCAGTATACTTGCACCTGTTAGCCCAATAATCCTAATGATTTTCAAGAAACTTACCTGTTTTGAATATTTGTCCTGAAATCTCATGAAAACAATAGATCTTCTTTCCAGAAAAATCTACACAGCTCTAAAATTATATATACAGTTTCAAGGAATCCACAGATTTCCTGGAGTCTGTCCATGAAGTCCAATGTTAATAAAATAACTGACTATGCCTAATTAAAAACCAACTTACCTAACCCCCATTGAACCAAATTCTGCATCTTGGGCTTAGCTTGGGAGTACATTTCCTAAAAAGGTCAAAAGAAATGGAATGAGTAGGATTTGCTGAGTAATAGAATAAACATACTTATTTTTACTAAATAAATTATCATGCTATTAATGCTTTTTGAACATAGGGATATAATGTCTACCTGGAGCTTTCTGTTCTTGTCTTTTTCTTTTCTAAGTTTCATTCACTGTAAACTGCTCAGCTGAATGACTTACTATTGCCATAGGAAGCAGATTCCAAGTAGAATGGTCTTAACAACCCAGCCTTTTAGTACAATTTAAGAAAACAGACTAAACAGACTAAAAATTAAACCTCTTGATAATTATAGTGGCAATCTTTTCCCTGTGAGATTAAATCTTCATAATAAGTCTATCTCCCATTGTGCCATCATTTCAGAGCCTACATCTGGAAATTGCTCCTT